TATTGCATATTTCTTTTAGATTGGATATATAATTGGATATTTCTTTTAGATTCAGTTTTATAGTCTCTTCCTATTAGTCAGTGTTTGTCTCTTTACCCCTAATGTAATTCTTTGTTATTGTTGTTTTTGTTTTTGTTTTGTGGTGCTGGGGATCAAACTCAGGGCATTGTGGATGCAAGGCAGGAACTCTATCACTGAGCCACATTTCCAGCCCTCTAGTGTAATTATTGATATTGACTGTCACCTTGCTCTTAGCTTTGTGTTACCTCTGTATTTTGGTCTTTTCTCTTTCTTGCCTTTTTTTTTTTTTTTTTTTTTGTCTTTTTTTGACACAGGCTTTCTATGCAGTTCAGGCTGGCCTTGGTCACTTTGTAGCCCAGGCTGGTCTCGAACTCTCAATGTTCATCCTGATTACAAGCGTGAATCACCATGCCCTGCCTTTCTTGACTATTTTATTGACTATATTTTACATTTTGTTCTTTTTCTTCTTTTGTATTTTTATACGGTTTGTGTGTATATATTTTAAAACCATTATATCTTTAACTACATCCTTGAATTAATCTCATGCCATTTCATATAATATGAGACTCTTACAACACTGCAGTTCATATCCCTGACAAAATGTGTTCTAGGGTTATGATGCATTCTCACTATTTTTTTTTAATCTCTTTTTTTTGGGTCTTTTTCCTTTTTTATTGGTGCCGGGGATCGAACCCACGACTGCCTGCTTGCAAGGCAGGCGCTTATGCTACTGAGCTAAATCCCCAGCCCCTCATTCTCACTATTTTTGTTTGAATATTTGTCTTACTCCATTTTATTCTGTTTTAGCTAAATACCTCAGACTAGATAACTTATAAAGGACAGAAATTTTATTTCTCACTCTCTTGGAGGCTGGGAAGTCCAGAGTAAGATGTCTGGTTAGGCTTTCTTGATGTGTTATCACGTGATCAAAGCCTGAAGGAGAAGCCAGCCATCTAGTCTACTGCTGCACGAAGACCTTTTCAGGAAGACCTTAATTCCACATGTGAGGGAGGAGCCTTTATGCCCTATTTATCTCTTAAAGGCTTCACCTCTTAACACTGTCATGCTGACAACACCCAAATTTCAGAGGACAGACATTCAAATTATGGAAAATTTTTGTTGCTGTTGTTTGGTTTTGTTTTTTTGAGAATGGGGTCTTCCATGTAGTTTAGGCTGGCCTTGAACTCACTATGTGGCTTAGGCTGGCCTGGAACTGACACTGATCCTGCTGCCTCAGCCTCCCACGTGCTAGAATTACAGATGTGTACCACCACACCCGGCAAATCATAGCAAATGTTAGGCCTTGTGTCTAGGTGTGTCCCCAAAGCCTCATGTGGTCATAAATGGGACTTTTTAGAGGTAGCTGGATGTGATGCTGGGATTAAGAGTGTGTGATTACTAACTTAGTCCACGGATTGGTTTGGCATAGTTCTGGATGTGGGTAATCAGAATGCCCACCTGGGTGTTGGTGGCACCACCCAAAGAGCCTGGAAGGGATAAAAGAAAGAGGTAGCTACTGCTGCTGCTTGTGCTCGGCTGCTTCTTGCCCACCATGACCTGTTCCTCTTCTGTGATGCCCCTCTGCCATCCCACCCTTCTTGGTGCCAGTGGACTGAAACCTCTATAAACTGTGAGCCAAAATTAACTGTTCCTCCTTTACTTTGGGTATCCAGTGTTTTGTCTCTACAGTGTGAAAAGTAACCAAGATAGCAATGGTAAAGTGATACTTAAAGGATTTAGAAAGAAAAATCCTTTTATTTACTTAATTTTTATTTTCAGTGCTCTTCCTTTTCTGTGTATTTAAATTTACATCTGATGTAATTTCCTGTAACCCTTATATTACAGGTCTACTGGCTCTAAATTCTCTCAACTTTCATTTTTTGAAAATATACTTGTTTTGATTTTATTTAGTAAAAAATCAAAAGGTACAAAAACTTTTTTGTGGATGTTATTTTTTTCTGTCAGAACTTTTAAAGTGTCATCTTGTCCTCTCCTGGCATCCATTGTCCTATGAAAACATTCTTTTCTTCCCACTTTTGTTCTTATGTGTAACTTTTTTTTTCTTTTAAGATTACATATGATTTTCAGTGTAGACTTAAAGTGCCTCACTGCGAGTTTTATATTTAGCCTGCTTGGAGTCCACTGAAATAAATCAATCTGTGTGTTGACATTTTTCACCAAATTTGGAAACTTTCCAGCCAGTATATCTCCAAGTATTTTTCTTTTTCTCTCTTCCATTCTTTTGGAAATTCAGAAATATGTATTAGACTCTTGATTCTGTCCTGGAGGTTATCGATACTCTTAATTTTGTTTGTTTTTTTGTTGTACTTTGGATGATTTCTGTTGACCTATCTTCAGGTTCATTGATGGCATGGAGATGAAAGAATTTTAAGCAGGATAGCTACTGGAGCAAAATTAGTTTTGATCAAATTGTATTACAGAAAAAGCTCACCATTCTCCAAGTGGAACTTGCTCTGTTCCATGTTTTCAGTTCTTCTGGTTGACAGCCCATTAGCCATCTTGGCCGCAGTTCTGTGACCTTTGTTGGTCCTAAGTTATCTGATACTCCACTCCCATGCCAGACCTTCAACTGAGTCACTGCCTGAAGCTGCTTCACCTGAAGAACCACTGATTCAACTGGCTCCGCACAATCCTCCTCGCATCTGCTCCCGCTGTGTCTAGTCTTTTTCTCTACCAGAATCTTGTCTTCTGATTCTGCTTCTCTCACAGTCCATCAGTTTTACTGATTTGTTGTGACCTCTCCTCTGCTTGTCTTCCTGGTTCATCATTTCAGTAAACCATTCTTCCTAGTATCTACAACTTCCATTTCCTGATACTCTTTTCATACTCCCTTGCTCAAGAGCCCAGTCATATATGAAGCCTGTTACTTGCTGCTACTGCGGCTAAGCCCAGAATCATTGCAGACTGATTGTTGCAGTGCTTACAAGAGCAACAAATTAAAGCATTGTCATTTTTGTCAGAGAACCCTATTTCTCTAGCAGTATGTCCTTGTGTGTTTAGCAATGAGTATTACCTTCTTCATAGTCTTCCTTCTCATGAGATGACCTTTTCTCCTACTTCACTGAAATAATTTCAGTTTCTCCCTACTAAGCTTCACCCCAATTTCTTTTCTTGATAATAGGGAAAGGGGCATCTCTTACAAGGCCTCCAATTATGCATGGCTCTCATCTCCTTTCACTGTCTCTGGATAGTCTGCAAAATTAGCTGTTCCCTTTCAGCTGGGCCCTTCGGGTTAACACAAATTAGGGGAAGATAAAAATAGAAAAAACAAACTAAAATTTGTAACCCCATTTCTCCACTGATTTCTGCTCCCCAGGCTCCTTTCAGCAGTCCTGGAGATTGAATCCAAACCTTTGCGTTGAGGTATATCTGCAGACTTTTTTTTTTTTTTTGAGATAGATAGGGTTTTATTAAGTAATTAAGTTGTCCAGGCAGGACTTGCAGTTCTCCTTCCTCAGCCTTCTGGCCTTCCAGGTATCACCACACCCAGCTCTCCTCTGTGTAGCTAAACTTTTCAGATAATTACTTGTATTTTCTTTTTGGTGAGCTCTCATTACTCCCAACACTCCAATTTGAATTCTGTGGTACCCTGTTTTGTTTCATTCCCTTAGGCATTCTTTGTCTTTACTCGTTTTTTATATATTTTATATCAGTCTAAATAGTATCAGACTTGCAAAATTTTGCATTTAGATTTACAAAAGTTAAAGATACTGCTAACACCTACTATTGATGAAGATGTGTAAAAACTCAAGGTTGGGATTTAGCTCAATGGCATAAGCATTTGCCTAGCAAGTGCAAGATCATGAGTTTGATCCCTGGTACAAAAAAACAAAAACAAAACTGCACTTAAATGGGGAATAGAAATTTGAGACCAAGTCTGATCTCAAGGCTCATTTTCAGCTTCATTTTAAGCTATATAAATAATGTATAAATAGGGTCTCACTATAACTACCTCAGAAAACAGATCCAGCAAAAAAATCAAACCTACCTTTTTTTTTTTTTCATTCTTTATCAGTACCAGGGATTGAACTCACGACTGCCTGCTTGCAAGGCAGGTACTTATGCCGCTGAGCTAAATCCCCAGCCCTAAACCTACCTTTTTTACAGAACTCTCTTATATCCCACTTTCCTTCTAAGAGGTAACAACTGTTTGAGTTTGATGTACTGTACCTTTTTATATCTTTGTGTGGTTTTGTGTGTATGTGTGCATGCATGCACTTGCATACATATTTACATATATGGAGTTTTATTTTATTTTTCTAGACCAAGGTCTTGCTATCTAGTTCAGGCTGGGCTTGAATTCACTGTGTACTCGGGCCTCAAACTCATGGCCATCCTCTTGCCTCAGCTTCCCATGTATTGGGATTACAGGCATGTGCCATCATGCCAGAGAGCATATGTGATGTTTTAAAAAATAAACCATAAATTAAGACATAGTATATATATATATATATATATATATATAGTATTATCCATGCATTTTCTGTTGGCCTTGTTGTTTTGGGGCTGAGTAACTCAGGCTGTCCTTGAACTCACTTTGTAGGCCAAGTTGGCTTTGAACTCACTGTCCTCTTACTTCAGCCTCTACCTAAGATTACAGGTGTGTTTTAACCCATGGGGTTTTATAATTCTTGCAAAAAGTAAAACATCACAGTTCTTCCCTTTTGTGATCTCACCTCCAATAATTGCAGTTTGTATTAGATTTTCTGAATAGATAAGATGGTTCTTGTACCCCTCTTTCTTTCTGTGAGATCCCTCAAGGAATCTGTAATTGGGGATCCATGATGGTATACTGTGGGACTGAGGCTCCCGGGGCAAAATGGAGCTAGCATTTCAGGCTCCCCCACCCAAGACAAACACTTGAGGTTTGCCTTTCTCCAACAGATTGTTCCCATTTGAATCCTCTCTACAGTGTGAGACAGATTTGTGTTAGTATTTAGATCTTTTCTTTTCACTAGGCTGGGTGTCAATAATGGCAGAAGCATTGAAGTCTCAGCACATTATGGAGGCTTCACACGCTGCCAGAACTCTAGCTAACCTAGACCGAGAAACTGTGCAAGAGAAATATCAGGATGGTGTGTATGTACTCCATCCCCAGCATCGAACAAGGTGAGCAAACAATACTGGTGGTGTTCTTTTTTGGCACATAAAGCCAGAAGGCTTAAAGTTTTAATACTTCTGCATACTTAGGTAAGTTCAATACCTTATTCATACTGAATACCTTATTAATACTGAAACAATTTATTCATAATAACCTCACAAGAACTGAAGGGTGTCCTGAAGGCACAAGAAGAAAATCATCAGGGATCTCGGTAGACAGCTACACTTCAGTGAGGTTGCATTCACCTGTTAGGCTCTGTAGCACTTACACTTTGTAATGTGTCTTCGTTTCGAAGCATTTTCACCTAGATCTGCGTTAGGAACTGATTTGGATTGCAGAGGTCACTCTGAATTGGAAGAAGATGAGACTTCATTGATGTAAGCAGCCAGATGAACCTCAGTGTGGGCTTGGAGCTCCAGGCTGGAGCAAGTTTATGCTGAGAGTCAACACATGAGTAGGAAGGAATAAAATAAAATAGACTCTTGTTCTTTTAAGGTTATTGCTGGTTATTATTTCCAGTGGTGTGAGGCAGTAAGTATAGGAAGGGTGGCAATAAAAAAGTACATAGTTCTTGTATGCTCATTTCATGCTTTAAGAATAATTTTAAGAAATACCCAGAAAACCCTTTAAATTTGAAAGAGATTGCCGGTTCAATTCCAGTTTGTAAATAAAATGTATGCTGTGTATGTGTTGCATGATTGCATGTATACTATAGTTTGTAACTAATGCACTGCCTTTAATTTTTAATATCACCAAAGAAGGAATATATTAGCCTGACGTCTCACTTACTCTATTTCTGATATAGTTTTCTTTAATAAAATTTTGAAATTTCGTATGTACTAGCTTTGAAACTGTATCAACATATTACCAATTTTCGTTGCTTTGATTTTTAGAATATTCTTACAAACTTGTTCAGAGGGTAATCTGATGATAGCGCCTGTCACTTGATGAGCCACTGAGCTCACTGTAGTCCTTTGTGGCTGATATGCTAAGCACAGCTCCCTTTTTATGGGGAGAGCAGTGAGTGTGCTCTGTGTATTTCTTTGGCCAAAGTCCTTCAGGAATATTTCAGCAACACTGTGCTTTCAAACTTGCCATAATCCTTGTTTTATGTCACATAATAAGCCTGCCAAAGCATCACCCATAGAATGATACATAAAATATTAACATAGCAATAATGCATTTATTCTGCTTCTTTTTAAAACTCTCTCTCCTCTTAGTCAACCCATTAAAGCCGATGTCCTTTTTATTCATGGCCTTATGGGAGCAGCATTCAAAACATGGCGCCAGCAGGACAGTGAGCAGGTTATGATTGCAAAGGCTTGGGAGGATGAAGACAGGTACACTACATGCTGGCCCAAGGTAAGAAGCAGCGGCTCTGGCTGGCTGCTCAAGCACCCACACTGAAGTGCCACTGTTACTGCAGTCTCCCTATGACTTGCACCTTTTCTCTTCCTGTGGTTTGGAGAGGAGACTCCTGTAGTACCTTACATTAACAGCTGGGTTTGTGATCTTGTTACATAGTTTCTATAGGGTATAGCCTCTAAAAGTATATTCTGCAAGTAAAACAGAAGGGATAAGCACATAACTCACTTACATTGAAGCATAATATAAATAATTATGTAATCAATTTTATAATCTTTATAATATAAAGCTAGAAAGATTTTGAAGAAGTAATTCTACTTTTCATTTGTTTTATATTATTTTTTCCGAAGGGCGTCAACTCTAGATTAAATTCACTTAATGGAACTTAACTAAAGCTCATTTTGAATTGATGCTGTATATAGGTGGGAATAGTTTCCAGGGCTTTCCTTGACTACCTTTTGCTCACCTTCACAAAGGCAGAGAACTAGTATGAAGATGACCATAAAATCAGGGGTCCCAAAGATGACCTGTAACTGTCACTATTATCCTTGAATTCTCAGTACCAAAGTTCTCTGTTGGATTACAGTCTGTGATTGTAGCTTTTGACTAAATGCTTTTAAAAGCCTGTTGGATCTAGACTCCAAAAACAAGTTTTGCTTTGGGCTATTGCAGGTTAATATTGAGAATATACTGGCAATGCATTCATATTGTTTTATCCAGAGATACAAAAACATAGAATCCTTGTTTTTATAGTCACCTTCAAACTTTTCAATGTCATCTTTAGTTAGTTGTTCATTGCATGAGGCCTTTAGATACAAATTCAACTAATAAGTAAGTTGAGGAGGTGGAAATTCATGCATGTTCTTATATAACTTTCATTTTGCTTAGACATGGTTAGCAAGAGACTGTCCTGCTCTTCGAATTATATCTGTGGAGTATGATACCAGCCTCAGTGATTGGAGAGCAAGGTGCCCAATGGAAAGGTAACTTTAGAGGAGATATTCACTGAGTATGAAGAAGATCCTCTGAGATGGGAATTGATTTTTATCTTTTAATACTATAGGCAGAATTGTTTTTAGTCCTGGGGATGACTCTCAGGGCCATGTACATGCCAAGCAAGTGCTCTACTCCCAGCCAGGGTTTTCTTATAAAAATAATGAAGAAATCTTAGATAATTGTCAGTATTGAGCTCCTAACCTAGTTCCTTTGTAACTCAATAATGAAAGATCATGGATTCGGTAACAGTATATAATTTCTACCAGGAGCAAAAGTGATGTATTTTGCTTTTGTGTTCACAACCATGCTGGCAAAAGGAGGCAAAGAGGAAAGATGCTGAGTAAACTCAGCTGTTATGTCTCTCTTATAGCCCATATCCTGGCTGAGTAAATAGGAAACAGCCGTGGTTTTCTGGGAATGGGACCTTGATTGTAGCCCAGTCCTGCCTTTGACTCCACTCTTACACAAATTATTACTGTGTGGGAACCTTCATGTATAGATTGAGGGAAAAAGTCTACCCAGTGTTATTAAAATACTGCCATCTGCATGGAGCCTGCAGAAGTGCCTGAGAAGATGCTTGGCAAGCAGCAGGATCCAGTCTCCCTCCCATTTCTCTTGGGAACTCTGTCAGCCTGGATAGTTTTGAAATTTTCCTTTAGTTTTAAAATTACTATTTTGAAGTCACTGATTTGAATGACTTCTTAGTATATTTCTAAATAATAAACCAAAATAATGAAAGCTTAAAATTTGTAGCATGAATGCAAGTGAACCAAAATGCACAAAAGACAATAGTCTCTAGAGACACTTCTATAGTTAGACAGTGGAATTGGAACTCACACACACCCTGAGTGCTAGGGGAAGCTGAGCTAAGACCTATAAAAATTGTCAGACACTTAAATCATAATCTTCAGGTAAAAAAAAAAGAAAAAAAAATTGTCAGACACATTAGATGCTAAAACAATACTCTTTAGTATATGAATGGGTTGTTCTGTACTTAGGTGGCTCTAGTTATGCGAGTGCTGATATGTTGCAGAAAGAGAATGAGCATCTTCAGAAACTGAGCAAGTAAGGGTATCCTTCAGTCCAAAATATAGTATATAGCATTCTGACTTATAAAGTTAGTAGCAGATAGATTTGGGAGATCATGCCTCCTGTCATGCCTCCTGTTTTCGTTTTGTTCAGAAAGTCCATTGCATTCAGAAGCAACGAACTTCTTAGGAAGCTCAAAGCTGCTGGTGTTGGGGATAGGCCAGTAATTTGGATATCACATAGCATGGGAGGTAAGGATGGTTTGATCTTTGCAGAATGACCATTGTGAAGTTGTCAAGTCAGTGGGGTTTATGTGAAATTCTTTGTTTTCTCTATTTTACCTACTTGCAGCAGCCCATCACCCCTATTTTAACATTGCTACTCTTCTTCCCTGCTTTTTGCTTTTCTAGAAGTGGGACAGCTAGTACAAACCATGCAAGAGGGCAGGGCTTGACAACTTGATGCTTTTGTGTTCTGGTAATTAGCCTCACACTGAAGGATTTTTACAAGTTGGACTTGGATAAGCCAGCATTCCTGGGTAGCCCGGGGCTTTCATCCTTCCTTTTCTCCTTCACCATTGCAGACTTTCTTTGGTGTCCATGCTGCTCTCCTGCCCAGTCTCCCCCAACCCAGCTGTTTTTCCCATCTACCTTGAAGATGCCCATTCTACGGCCCCCAGCCTACTTTATGTGGTAAAATGCTCAGATAAAGGATGACCGAGCCCAGGGCACCTTTTTGCTAAAAGAAAAGTGGCTGTAGCCCTTTACAACCTCAAAGATCTGTGGTCGCCATCTTTGTACTCTTTGGACATACTACCTGGGTAGGATGATCGAAGAAAAGATGCCTTCCTAGGTGCCTTTTCCACAGCAGCTGGGTGTCCTTGGTGGAACTATAACTGCATCTTAATGTTCTCCTGGGTGCAGGCCAGGTGGCAGGGTGGAGAGCTGCAGTACCTCAGTGATGGGACACCCAGCTCAGATGACCTGCAGACTAAGTTTCTAGTCTTACCTTGTTAGTAGGCTTTTACTGTGAATTCTAGAGGATCAGAAACATCTTGGACTTGGTTTTTGTAGTACAAAAAATTATTGTTTAACTGGTTTTAAAATAATGTATCTATTTCTTATTTTGCCTTTTTACAAAGAAAAATAGTGGTGAAGAAGATGGCTTATCCACCATTGTTCTTTCTTCTCTGTGGCTAGGTCTTCTTGTCAAAAAGATGCTGTTGGAAGCCTCCAAGAAGCCAGAAATGAGTACTGTTATAAAGAATACCAGAGGAATAATTTTTTACAGTGTCCCTCATCATGGATCACGTTTAGCTGAATACTCTGTCAATATTCGTTATCTTCTCTTTCCCTCTTTGGAAGTAAAAGAACTTAGTAAAGGTAATTTTGTCACACAAGAAATTGGGCTATATTAATATTAATTATATAGGAAGAGAAAACTAGTTTCTTCCTTGAGTTTATCTCATTTTGTTACTCATATGACTATTTAGCCTATTCATGGAAAATTTCTGGTTTGGACTTTTCTCTTTGATACTTTCTTTTTTTGTTCTTAAGCCACTATTTCCTCAAGTATAACCACAAGGTAGTATTGTCTTAAGCACTTAGAAAAGCTGTACATAATGTTTTGCTTTAAGTATTATTCCAAATTATTAGTAAATTATTTTTCCTAAATTTGGAAAATCATCAACTATTAAACACAAACTTTTAAGATTTTTAGCATATTATTATAAAGTACTACAAAATAGATGAAATGTTTGATCAGTAAGCATTTTTTCCCTGAAACAGCTACTAATTAGAATTTAGACTCCTTGGATTGAGCCTAATACACCAGTTGTCTCTTAGCTCATATTTTCTTTTTGTTCTGCTTTGTGGAGTTTGTCTTTCTCAAAATTGTTGAATTCAACTGAAATATTTGTTTGTCTTTATGGGATACATTATTATAATTTGGTATATAAATGCAGGGTATAATAAAGTAATAAGCATTTCCATCTCTTCAGTCATTAATATGCATTGAGAATTTTATGCTTTTCTAGTCCTTTTAAAATAAAGATTATTTTTTATTAGTAGTTATTATAGAAAAACCAGAACTAATTCCTTGTCACTGGTGCCTGTGCCACTTACTTAGGTTCTTTCCATTTCTCCCAATGCTGCATCCTTCCCAGTTTCTAATTGTATTCTGTTCTTCTGAGATTGACTTGCTCTTACAAATGAGTAAGAATATATGGCATTTCTCTCTCTGAATATGGCTTATTTCACTTAATGACCTCCAGCTTTATATTGGCTCCAAATGACAGAATTTCATTCTTTTCCTATGGCTCAGAAATATTTGTGTGTATATACCGCACTGTCTTTATCTGTTTGTCTAACTGATGAATCTAGTTGATTCCGTATTTTAGCTTTTATTAATATTGCTGCAATAAAGATGAGGGTGCAAGTATGTTTTTAGTATATTATGGAATTGCTGGATTATATGGTACCTTTTTTAGTTTTCTGAAGAATTTTCCTACTGTTTCTATAATGGCTATACTAATTTACATCTATTGAAGTGTATAAAACTTCGTTTTTCCTGCATCCTCACTGGCACTTGTTTTTTGCCTTTTTGATGATTACTATGCCAACTGTAGTAAGGTGGTATTTCATCATGGTTTTGATGTGCATTTCCCTTATGGTTAGTGAGAATGAACATCTTTTCTATACTTGTTGGCTGGCCATTAGTGTTTTCTTTTGAGAAGTGTCTGTTCTGTAGCCTAATTTAAAATTGGATTATTTGGTGTTACAGTGTTCAGTTTCCTAAGTTCTTTATGTATTCTACATACTAACCACTAGACAGATGAATATTTGTAAATTATTTTCTCCCATTTTGTAGATTATCTCTTAATTCTTTTGCTTTGTAGAAGTTTCTTAATATAAGATAATAGAATTCTACTTGACTATATTTATGTTGTTTTTAGGGTCCTACCTAAAGAAACATAGTCTATATTGATGTCTTGAAGTGTTTCACTGTGTTTTCTAATTGTAATTTTATTTTTTTTAGTTTTTTACATTTGATCATTTGAGTTGCTTTGTGTACAGTTAGAGAAGGGACTTAGTTTCATTCCGTGGTTCTCCTCTCCTTTTTTACACATACACACACGCACGTGCACTTTGCAAACACTAGTTAATGAAGACTGCTTTTTCTGCAGAGTATGTTCTTGGCATTTTGTTAAAAATAAGTTGACTAATAATTCATGTGAGTATGGTTAATTTCTAGCTTCCCTACTCTGTTGCATTGTTCTATGTCTTTTAATTGATAGCATCATGATATTTTGACTACTGTAACTTTGTAGTATATTTTAATGTCATATACTATGAGGCCTTCTGCATTTTTTGCTCTCAGGATTGCTTTAACTATTCTAAGTCTTCAGTCATGGCATATAAATTTTAGGGCTCTTTTTTGTACTTCTGTGAAGAAAGTCATTGGTATTTTGATGAGAATTGCACTGATCCTGTAGATCACTTTGTTAGGTTGTGTGGTACTTTTAATACTAATTCTTCTGATCCATGAACATGAAGTATCTTTCCATTTTCTTGCATTCTCAATAATTTCTTTCATCAATTCTTTATACTTTTCATTGTAGAAATTTTCACTTTCTTGGCTAAGTTTATTTTTGAATTTTTGTAACTATTATGAACGAAGTCATCTTTTTTCATCAAGTTCATTATTAGTATATAAAAGCATAATCCTTTCTTTTTTTTTTTTCCTTTTTATTGGTACCGGGGATCGAACTCACGACTGCCTGCTTGCAAAGCAGGTGCTTATGCCGCTGAGCTAAATCCCCAGGCCCGAGCATAATCCTTTTTATGTTGATTTTTGTCCTACAAATTTAGTAAATGTTTGTGTATTCCAACAGGAATTATGTTGCTTTTGACCAACCATTTGGTTTTCTGTTTATAAAATCATGTCATCTGCAAACATGAATAATTTAACTTCTTTTCAATTTTGGATATCCTGTGTTCCTTTCTCTTGCCTAAATGTCACTGTTAGGACTTCCTATGCTGTATGAAATAACAGCAGTGAAAGTCTCAATCTTAGAGGAACACTTTTAGCTTTTCTTTATCCAATGTGATATTGGCTGTGGTTTTTCATGTATAGCCTTAAGTATGCATAATTTGGTTAGTTTTTATATTGAGTCTTATAGAATGCTTTCTGTACATCTATTAAAATATATTTTTGTTCTTAATTCTGTTGATGTGGTCACATTTATTGATTCATGTTTGTTGAAACATTCTTGCATCACTGGGATAAATCCCACTTGATTGTGGTATATGTATGATCTTTTTGACATGCTATTGAATTTGCTAGTATTTTGAGAATTTTTGCATCCGTATTCGTCAGGAATATGATCTGTGGTTTGTTGTTGTAATTTTGGTGTTAGTATCAGGATAATGCTGACCTTGTAAAAACATTTGGCAGAGTTTCTTTCAGTGTTTTGTTAGAATTATATCTTTAAATGTTGCATACAATTCAGCAATAACACCATCAGGTCTTATACTTTTTTTAGGTAGGAGATTTTTTTTACTGCTTCATTTTTATTTTTATTATTGATCTGTTTAAATTTTCAGTTTCTTCTCAATTCAGTTTTGGTAGATTGTGTGTATTCAGGAGTTTATTTCTTCTAGGCTTTTTATATTTTTAACATTTCTTATCTTGTAAAATTCTTTGGTATCAATTTTAATGTCTTTTTCATCTCTAATTTTATTTGGGTCTTTTCATCTTCATTAATCTAGCTAAACCAAGAAATGCTATTTATCCATTCTTTGTATCATTTCCTTATTGTCTTTGACTTACTGTCTGCTCTTGATTATTTCTTTCACTGATTCGGGGTTTGGTTTGTATTTGCTCTTGAGTTCTTAAAAGTACACTGTTGTTTACTTCAGCTCTTCTGTATTTTGGTATATGCCTCTATTGTTAAAGACTTCCTGCTCCCTACTTACTTAGCTGGATCTTGTAAATTTTGTATGTTGTGATACTATCATCTTCATTTTCTTCTGGGATTTTAAAGTTTCCTTGTAAATATTTTCAGTTATGTGTTGATCACATAGGGGCATGTTACTAAATCTCCATGGGCTGGCTCTCACGGAGCAAGCACAGGTAGGACTTGGTCTGTGGCAGTGACAGCAGCTGATCCTGAAGCTTCTAGACGTGGAAGGAGCCGTCTTCTGGCCAGTGAGATGTGCCCCAGCCCAGCTCCCTGCAGTTAGGACTACTGGCCTGCTGCTACAAGCAGGGCTGGGGAACTGGCCCATTTCCCTTCTCCCAGCAGTGTAAGCATCCCTTCAGCCAGGGAGCCAATTGAAGTTGCAGTTTGCTTTTTGTTCTTTTCTTTAGATTGCCTTTTTTGTCTCTCCATGCAGCCTTGTTGATTTCAGAGGTTTCCTCAAACATTTCCTTGAAATACAAATTTTCCTTTGTTGCCCTGGTTCTTCTCTGTGGCAGAATTACATGCAGGTCACCTCTTTTCAGCAGTCTTGACTCTTCATTTGTCTTCTCTGAAGGCTCTTTATTCATAGTACCCTCTTCTAGCTTGTTGCTTCCATTTCTTTTCAGATTTTTTTTTTTTTTTTGTACCAGGGATTGACTCAGATCATTCTTAAGATGCTAATTAGAAGATTTTTAAAAGTTTCTTTGAGCCAAGTGTCACCTCAGGAGGTGAAGTCAGGAGGATAGCAAGTGTGAGGCCTCCGTGGGCAACTCAGGCAGACCCTGTTTCAAAACAAAATTAAAAGGGCTAGGGGTGGACCTTAGCAATAGAATGCTTATCTAGTGTGTGTGAGAGACCCTGGTTCAATTTCAAAAACCACAAATAATAATAATAATGATAAAAGTTCCTTTGTTTCCTTCTTTGGCTTTGTTTCTTCTGTGGTTGGGTTGACTTTTCTGCCAGGCTCATCTAGTAATCTTTAAGGTTGTAGGCTTCCTCTGATGCCTGGTGCTGTTTTTCTTGGCTACCGTTTCATATTTGAGGGCAAGAGGCTAGAAAAGGCAGGAAAGTTCATGGGAGACTGAGGGCCTTCTGTAGTCTCATACACTGAATATCCTAGACTCTGCTTCCGGTTAGCCAGTAAGTGTGGTGAAACCGTTTTTCCCCGCTATCTGTGTCCTCTCAATTTTGGGGGAGGAGGGGCTTTTGCCTGTATTTGAAACCATACAGTGGCTTCTCAGGCCACCATCTTGAGTTAGAATCTTGATGGCCTCTAAATTTGAAAAATCAGTGCATTTTATTTTAAACGTGGTAAGCAGAACCTGTCACATTCTTATTCTAATTTTACAGATTCTCCTGCACTTAAAGCACTACAGGATGACTTTCTGGAGTTTGCTAAAGATAAAAAGTTCCAGGTGCTGAATTTTGTAGAGACACAGCCAACAACTATTGGCAACATGATCAGACTCCATGTGGTGCCTGAGGAATCAGCAGGTAAAATTCTTGAAACTTTTGGGTCATTAGATGGCTAGTGGGCAGTACCTCACATTTAATCGTATCAGTTTATATCCAGTTTCTCAGTTTTAGGAGATACTTTTAACAAAGATCTAAAATCTAATTCTATTATTGTTTTAGCCACAGTTTAAAACTTCCCTGAAAACGTACAGCTTTGTCATTACCCTTCCCCTCTCTGTTTAACTGACTAGACAACAAAGGTTAACAGCCTACATGTAAATAAGGTGTCAGCAGTAACCTCCCTGCTGCAGGTCACACCAGGCGCTCTGGTAGCTGAATTAAAAGGGACAACTCAACAGATAGCTGCATTTGGAAACATTTTTTAAAAAATCTGTTCATTTAAAAGGTTTAGTAAATGTAGGATGTAAAGGCCCAGAAGCTTTAGTGAATGGAAGATATATTCAAGCAAGCAACACCCCAAAGTGGTAAAAATACTGATGTTAAAACTACAGCTTCTTCATGGTCCTGAGTAGAAGGAAATGGGTAATACCTACCAGTACAGGTATTATTACAGGTTAAAAACTTACAGCCTCCTTGAGGGTAGGCCTCAAACTTTTCTTCTTGATGGCCTCCTGTATTACTGTCTGTACTGTAGCTCCCCCATACATGTCAGTCCTTGAAATGCTTTCCTTTACAGTCAATTCCTCAGCTTGACTGAACCTATTTTAAAATTTAAATTTTTATTAGTACGTGTTTGCAGTACATGATTACATTTATTGTGGGGAGTTGATACATATACCTAACACATTTTCTTTTTACTTCCCTTTATCTTGTGGGGTTTATCACAACCAAGATAGCATTAAAAACTACCCGTTTGACTTCAGTCCTGACAAGGGGGGGAAAGCCTTTTAGATGTATTGACATATATTGACATTTTTGTTTTTAGACTTAGGCATTGGAGATCTAATTCCCGTGGATGTTAACCATTTAAACATTTGTAAGCCAAAGAAAAAGGATGGTTTTTTGTACCAGCGTACTCTACAGTTCATCCGTGAAACTTTAGCCAAAGATCTTGAAAACTAACTGCTGGCTTCTTCCATTTTTTATGTGAATACGTGCAAGAAAGCTGATACTCTTACCATGTAAGCCCTGAGTAGGATGCAGCAGCGTGGTCTAGAGTGGTGCAGACAACAGAGTATGGCTCTCCATTCACACACTGGAAAGCATGCACACCCAGTGGCAGTGACAGAAGGAGTGGCTTCTGGCTTACAGAAATCCCACAGTGCTGGGCCTGGTGACTGAGCAAAATTGCTGGGGCTAGAGAGACCATCTTCTTACCTGGGAGCCCTGGTGGGCAACTCAGCTCACCGTAAACATGCTACAGAGAGAATGCCTAAATGGAGAGAAGAGTGGACTAGACCATAGAAGATTCTGTTTTTGTTCTGGGTATCCATGTGCTGTAAATTTTAAAATATCAGTTTAAATTTTTAATGTTTAACTTTCAGTTGAATCTTTGTCTAACACGTTATCAATAGTATTAACTTTGTTAGACCTGTTGTCATGCATGGATGAGTTCCTTACATGTTTTTGTTTTCATATTGCTGAGGACAAATTTTTTAGAATTCCAGTCTATAGTAATTCTTTACAGACCATAGCTGTCCTATGCTTATCATGTGTCCCAGATAAGGATTTAATCCATTACTGACCAGAGTATGAAATAAAACTGTTGTAAGCATATATATATATCGTATCAACATTTTCAGATTTTTTTAGCTAAGTATACTTTCTTTGCTCATTTGTAAGTGGTACTAAAAATCTTGACAGGCTTTAGGATAAGCATCAAGATATAATTTGCATAGCTTGCAATCCAGCCTTTAAAAACATACAATTCATTGGTTTTTAGTATAGCTAGTTTTATAACCATCATCATCATCTAGTTCTAGAGTATTTCATTATTCTAAAAAGAAACTCACCAGCAGTCATTCCCCACTCCTGTGTCCCCAGCCCCTGCTAACACAGGTATGCATTGCATATCTGTGTTTTGGCCACCTCTGAATATTTCATACAAGTGGAATCATACAGTAGGTGCTTGTTTTCTTTTTTTTTTTTTTTTTTTTTTTTTTTTTTTGTCTTTTTCCTTTTTATCAGTACCGGGGATTGAACTCACGACCGCCTGCTTACAAGGCAGGTGCTTATGCCGCTGAGCTAAACCTCCAGCCCCCTAGGTGCTTGTTTTCTTCGTGTTTTCTATATACATATATATATATATATATATACATATTATATATCTCAGCATGTTTATTGCTTATGACTCAAATTATCCCAAATTTGCTATATTTGTTTATTCATCAGTTGTTGGGCATATAGGTTCTGTCCTTCATGTGGCTATTAGGAAATCATGATGCTATGATCATTTGTGTACAAAGTTGGGGGGGTTTTGGATAGATGTTTTTACTTATTTTACTCGAGCAGAATTGCTGCTCAAATGCTAAGTCTGTGTTTAACATTGTGAAGATGATGGACTTGGGTAGAGTGGGAGTGTCAAAGCTGAAAATGGAGCCCAGCATTTGAAGGTAAGCAAGGTCATCAGCAAACCCTATTGCATCAACTTCTAATTGTTTTAATTATATAGCCACAAAATGAATGATTTACCCACTCGTCTTGTGGTATGAATGTAGCTTAAGTGTGTTAGCTAATGGGATGACATGGGGAGAAGAGGTTTGATAGGTTTGGTGCTTACTTTTGGTTCTGTTTTCCACGAACTATGGCAGATAAACCACAGTAGAAGCAACTTCATTAATATAATGAAATACCTTAATACATTAATATAATGAAACACCTTCCCTTAAATTGCTAATAACTATCACAGCTGTGCTTTTAAGAAGGGTGGAAGAGACATCCAGTATATTGCAAAATATGTGGTTTTTTAGGCAAGCCTTTAGCATTTTTTTATTCTGTTTATAAAATGGTGAGTCAACCCTCCATTTATCAGAAAGACAAGGATTTGGATGAAGCTTATCATACCAAGTGAAAGGCAACATAATACAGCAAAATGAAACAAGTGTAATGAAGGCCAAAGAGTCGGTCTAAATGGAACATAATCTTGGACAACAAAGTAATACACAGAAAAAAGGTGGAGACATGAAAACAAATTGAAAACCAAACCAGTTAGCAGAATTATAGAATTTGTGGAAACAGCACATCAAAGTATATAAATAGCATTACCATCATGGATGCAGAACTATAATAGATGGAAAAGAAAAATAAAATTCTTAATTAGAAGATAATAGCCAGGGGTGGGCCTAGTGGCACTTTCCTGTAATCCTATTCTTTAGAAGGCTGAGGCAGGAAGATTGCTCTGAGTTCAAGGCCAGCCTGAGCTACATAGTGAGACCCTGCCTAAAAAAAAAAAAAAAAAAAATCAACTGTAAACTCAATGGACAGATATTATCAGTGAAAACCAAAGGAGTGGGGATCCCTGTGCTCCTGGTGATCCTGCCCCAGCCTTCCCCAGTGCTGCAATTACAGGTATGCCAGACAGATCTTATTAAGCCAAAGTCTATAAAGGGAAATAATTAAAATGCTATATTTGGAAATGCAAGCAGAGACCTCTAAAAAAAGTAACAAAAACCTCATGTTGGAAACAGTAATGTTGAGCAGGGCATGGTAGTACACACCTATAATCACAGCACTCGGTAGGCTGAGGCAAGAGGATCGCCTCCAAAGTGGTTCAAGGCCAGCCTGAACTGCATGGCAAGACCCTGTCTCAAACAAAACAGCAACAAAAACAGTAATGTTGAAAAACAAACAGTAAATTTTGATGCTCAGCTAAACTGCTTCATAGTACAGAGGAAATAATGGACATACTCAAGCCCACAAGGACTTGGGAAATACTGTTAATCAGTCATAGTTTTATCCCCTTAGCTTTGTTTGGTACCAGAAATTGAACTCAGGACTTTGTGCTTGCCAGGCAGGTGATGTGCCACTGAGTTACATCCCTGGCCCCCTTCAGTGTGATTTAAAATAATATCATATAATTAAATATATAGTTCATGAATTTTATCCTATGATTTTGGAAAAGATGCCCATGGTGTGTCGTTTGTATTTGTTACCCAATGCGAGTTTGAAAACAAAAACAAAATTCTGCGAGATGCTTCTGGTTGTAAACAAAAGCATCATGAGCCAAGGTACCACTGTATTTTAATGTAGTGTTTTACTACACAGATGCAGTAAATTTCTAGAGTAATGTACATTTCTGGGTAGATTCTGGGTGCATTTTCCTGTACTTACATGTAGTACTGAACTTGAGTGTTTGCTGTTTTGATACATTATTCTAAAAGGCTGTGGAGCAGTAAAAGTTATCATAGCCACTGTGTACACTGGTCAGGCTTTGCTATGTAACCTGGTAAATATCTTAGGAAAAAGTTAAGTTGAAAAAGTCATTATAAAATTTGACAGAAGGCTTTTCTTTCACTGATAGGAAGGTAGGTTGTTTTGATCTAATTTCCTAGTGAAGACATAAAAAAAAAGGAATGACTGATACATCTTAGCAGGGGAGGTACACCTTAAGTTATTCTCCCATTAGTGGAACTCAGTGCTTAACCACCCACAATTTGAATTATTTTGGCTATTATTTCATAGTTGGCTGGCTCCAAGGCAGGAAGCCTTGGCAGAGGGGCATTGTGGGCCAGAAGCAGAAATAGTGCAGGAAGAAGCAGGGGAGGGAGAGGAGTCTTTTCAGGCTGCTCCTACAGACCTGTCCACCTGCTAACAGCAAATGTGCTGTAACCCCCCATATCCAATCACTTTCCAAAAGTGCCACCTATGAGCACATGAGGGTCTTGGGGGACATCTAGGTAGAAACCATAGCAAGGGACTAGCAGTCAAAACTACTAGTCAAGGCAGGGGCATCTCTAGATTTTGCCATGAAAACTGGACTGTCACAACTTGGAAGTGAGATTGGGGCTATCCAGTCCCATGCCCTGTCCTACTGACCTGAAGAGACTTGTTCTAGAGAGAGATTGACCAGACCTGCATCTCTTGTGCCCACAGCCTATCACGCAAGTACTCAGGGTCACTCTTCTGCTCAAGAATAAATGTCCTTAAAAAAATAAAAATAAAAATTTAAAAAAGAATAAATGTCCTTACTGGCTGTGGTGCTGTGCGTCTGTAATCCCAGCACTTGGAGGCGGAGGCTGGAGAACTGTTGCAAGTTTGAGACCAGCCTCGGCTACAAAATGAGCCCAAGGCCGGCCTGAACTGTACACCAAGACCTTATCCCAAAAGACCAATAAATAAATAAATGAAAAATTTAAAAAATGTCCTCAAGTGAGGGCTGTGTATTCCTCTTTGTCAACATTTTGGGACCCACAGTTAAATCTTCAGTATCAGCAATGGGGAGTTGACAGCCAGCCTTTTCCATTCCTACACAGCAGCTCTCCCTTAAATTGCTCTTTCGTTCACTTCTGGCAATTCCCCAGTGCCCCATTCTCCTGGGATGGGACCTGCTTCTCACTCCCTGGACAAGTCATCTTCCAAAACCCTTCTTCCTCCAGTGCTTTAACCTGTAAACCTGGACAGCCCTCCTTCAAGGCTCAAGGGATAGTCCAGTCCTCACTTGCGAGGCCAGGCTATCACAGCCACAATTTCAACCAGATTCTGCATTTGAATAGCAAAGGCCTCTGCTGTCTTGATGGTATCTTACCCTGTTGCCCCTCCCTTCTGCAGATCCCATGCCTCACTTTCCGAAGCACACTTCGTCCAGACTGCGGGGCGGTACCTGGGGCTCCACCTTACCCCACCTCACAGCATCATAACTAACCACACTGCTCTCATCCAGTCAGTTCCCCTCCCAAAAACCGCTTGTTCTTCAGGCTTGCTGGGTTTCTTTGGCTCTAGATCCCCAATTTTGGCCCATAGCCAGACTCCTTTATAAAATAATGCTCCTCTCCCCCCAAAAAACCCCACACCTTCATGCCCTCTCTAGCCCAGGTTATCTTTCACAGCTGCTTTCAAACCACTTGTCATGATCTCAGTCACTCCCAATGTGCATAAAAATGCCATCCCATAGACAGCTAATGGCTGGTTCATAGATAAAAGTCCCTAAGTTCCTAGTGGTTGCCAGGTGCCATATACTATCATTTCTAATTCCAGTCACATAATTGAGACCCAGCCACTCCCCAGGAAAACACCTCACAACAGGCAAAACAGCCCTAATCAAACAATCTTGGATTCTTCTCAACTTTATTACTGTACAGAACTCTCCATCTCCAACAAAAGCCATGTTAAAAACAGACAGCCATCCTGCTACTAAAGGAGGCTGTCTTCCACTTACCCATTGGGCCTTGCAGCTCCTGACAAATCTGACAAAAGAGCCAAATACGTTGCTGTCACCCAAACTCCAAAAGACCCCATCACCTCACTTCTCTTGTTCTCAAATCTCAGCCATTAAACTCCACCATCCCTTGGCAAACATCCTACCTTGGCCTTCTTCCATGAAGAGCCCTGCCCACACAGCCCGCAGGGCTGGGTCCCCTTCATCCCTAGGACGTTACTCCTGTTCACCTCAGGCCAATTGAACCTTCCTACTACTGAGCACACTGTGGCTTTCTCCTTGCCCAGCCTTCACACCCACTCTTCCCTTCCATCCCAGCCAGCAGGCCCTGCTCAAAACCCTTAAAAAGGTCCCTCTTCATCCAACATGGGAGAGACCCTACATGGTCCTGATTACAGCACTT